TCAATTAGCTGTACATTCTTTCAAATTTCTTCAGAGTCGTTTTACAAATCACGTAGAAAATTGATCGTAATCTTAACGAGCGTTCATACAATTTTATCGATATAATTAAACCTGTCTCATGACACGCGCAAATAGAGAACAGGAAAATAGATAGACGAATACGATTGATTGCAGTTGCTTTCGAGAGAAGGTAAATTACTGAGGAGAGAACACTCGAGATGAAAAGAGAGAGAAAGAGAGGAAGAGGAAGCCGTGGTGATGATCGCAGCCGCGCGTGAGATCTACTTATCCAATCTGACTTATTCAACGTCATTCAGGCTGATATAAACGCGAATCGCGCGCATAATAAATCGACGCATTTGTCGATAGCTCCGGTTTCGTTTACCGACAAAAACGACAACGAGAATCATTAGAACAAGATTAATGAAACGATTCGCGAACGCAACAATGATCTAACTCATTTTTTCGGTACCTCGACAAAATTAATCCTAGAGAGAATTGAGAAAATTAAATTTGTAAATCTTAATTTTCTTTGAATTTTAATTAATCAAAGGTATCAAAGGACTGTGCGCAAAATAATTTTGATAATATCTGAATGTAGGTGCGGATAAATAAATGTAATATCAGGCAGGAATCGATCAGTTTTATTTTCATACCCAGCGATTAATAATTAATTCCCTTTTAATGATTCTGCCAAATTTATTCCTTGCATAATTTCATGTGTTAAATTTAATTATCACGCTACAGTTGGCTTTTCAATAAAAAACGATGCGATGCGATGCGCAGACGACAGGGAAAAAAATTTCTATTTTCGCGACGAAACTATAACCACGATGGGCAATTTAAATCGTTAATGGACACCTCCGGGCAGTTCGGTGTTTAAACGCCGATAAATTTGCATGTTTAACGAAAGGAAAGGGCAGCCATTATACAAGTTCGTGATCGTTTTCTGATTATTTCCGAACCGCAAAAATTGATTAAATTTATTTAACGGTTCTTCTTTATGAAAAAAAAATAAAAATTATACGATCGTAACATGTATTCCCACGTGATATCCTACGCGCAGAGCATAATTATTCTTTTCTAAATCCAAATTAATGAACTTTGCTTATGTTTAATGTATCTTCATTATCGAGTTGAAGCTCTTATTTATTTTTGTTTACCATTTTATTTACTAACTCGTGCGAAAAAGATAAATCTTCTGAACAGCCTTGGCAGTTTTAAGAGCCAAATATGTTGCTGGAATTACGAAAAATACGGGCGAGAATTGCACAGGCACAGGACGCGCGGGAAAAAAGGGAGTCCGAAAGAAAAATAGACGGGAGAAAAGAACGCGGAAACTTCCGCCGAAATTCTGCCCTGCGTCCCCTCGGCTGTTTATATTTCGTCCTTACACTCTCGCAACCCTTAGCAGCCGTGGCCGCTTCTCTTTGCTTCACTTCGTATGGTCTCGTTCGCTTTTATTTTATTTTATCCGGACTTCGTTCTTACGACCCGACCGCGCTCGAGCGAATTGAAAGCGGAAATTGCGAGACTCGTGCACGATCCCTGCTTATTAAAAGCGAAATGCGGATATTGGCGCGTCAGACTCGCTTCAATATTCTTCATGGCAATACGCATAATTGCTGGGTTTCAGATATTCTCAAAGTCAAAGTCGGAACTGAGCTGGGCTTTAATCAGTTTTCACTCGATATCTCGGTATATGACTCAACAGCAATTCGAGATTTCAAAATCTATATTGATTTAATGTTTTTTTCATAGTTTAAAAACTTTGGATTATACTATTTAACTACTTTAAAAAGTTCTTCTCGAGAAATGAATTATGAGTTGTTTATTTCGAAAGCAGATTAAAAGTCAATTTTGAAGCGCTTTGTTAGCCATCCTCATTTGCATTTTAATAATGACTATCGGCGGAAAGAATTATAATTAAAATAATGAGATAATTATATTCAGCATAAATAGAATTAAATAATTATATATAAAATAGTGGAATTACACAACAGGCCATGTAACTCGTTGCAAAACAAAAAACTGTGTTTTAATTAGATCAGAGAGAGAGATATAACCATCATAGTATGCCGCCAAGCGTACGCTATAATATACTGCGGCATAAAATACTAAATAACGGCGATTTCAGCGATCGAACTGCAAAAGCGGATCTCGCTACTCCGTAATGCAACTCGATGATTCGTGAAACATTATTAAAGGCCAGTAAACTCGGCCACGGTGCACGTTCGATTGGTCGTCGCGGTAACGAGTCGACAGACAGAAAGAGAGAAACAACAGCGAAGCCGACACCGCTAAAACACGAACGTAATCATGCGAGTCCGATCGGAGAGCGAGCGAATAATCGCGCTAGTCGCGAAGGTCCATATAGCGAATTGTGTTTCCAGCTTTATACATACTTTATAACCGCAGGGATGCATTTTCCGCGTTAAAAAGCTGTGTTCGATTTTGACGTGCGGTTGTTAATACACGTGCAATCCTACGGGAAAATTAATTAACGCAAAAAACTTCGGAAAAAAAATGGTTGGCTCGGTAACATGAAATATTCTGTATTTTTTTAAATGCGTATTACTTTTTATTTAAGTCAAAGTAACAGTGAAAATACGTGCTTTCAAGCTGGCAATTACACTGGAGAAAACAAAGTTTCACGAGTTAATCTAGAAAATGTGAAGAACGAGTTACATGTACTCGAATAACACGTATTCTAGATCAACAAAACAGGAAACTTGGCATTTTAATCTGTTAAAAGCTATTCTATAATGTATCGTAAGAATTACATAGACATCCGTTTAAATTACTGTTTAAATTCAATTAACTTAAACATAAGCTCTGTGCATACTACTTTCGAAATTAAACTGAAAGAAAGTAATTTAATAGATTAAAATATAATTTAATAAATTTAATTACTTTTTCTCTCTTCAAAGACTGCTGCTCGAAAGGTAAACATTCATTCTTGCATAATATCGTTTATAGATCGGCGGATTCGAAAATGTAATATAGTTCGAAAAACTGGATTATATCACGCATTGACTTTGACTCTATTATTGGAAACGAGGGTGGAAATAAAAAGGACAAAAATAAACGAACGCACATTAATCGCGAATTTGTTGCGTCATTCCTTATTCGTACTGGAACGAAGAATGGAAGAACGAGATGGAGGTTCATCTGAATCTCGATATTCCCGTTTACGTGGCTGGAATGCAATTCCGCGGAATCTGATAAAATCGTACTTCTCTATCTCTCTCTAACTCTCTCCTTTCTCTCTCTCTCTTTCTTTCTCTCTCTCTCTTCTCTCCTTCGAAGAGTAAATTGTCCCTGCCGACTGTTCCGTTGTTCCGGAACGACGAATCAAGAAGTTTTGGCAACGAGCTATCTCGCGGTAACGGAAAGGAAGAGAGAGAGAGGGGGGGAGGGAGGAATGAAGGAGTTGATTGTAGAGAGAAGTTCTTCCAACTCCTTTCGATTTCGCTATATGTTCTTCTCACATCTTATTACCCTCTCCCTTAAAAGGGGGAAGAAAACGCATTCTTGCTGATAGATGGCAATTTGTGACATATCGTAATTTTGATGGAAATGTACGGTTAATGCGGAATATCTGAGATGCCAGCGAAACCGTTGCCAAGGGAACTTCGCAGACACCGGCAAATAATAATGAAGAAGCGAAACGGTTTGTGTTGATAAAGCGAAATATTTGCCTCGGTACGTGATTCTGTTGGATTTATGGCGAGATAGCGAAATTCGCGTGGCTTTCCACGATATATATTTGTTATTTCAGAAGAATTTCCTAGGAAGCTCTTATTAAACTTAAGATAGCAAACGATGAGAAAATAATATGTAATATATATAGTTTTTATCTTCGAATAAAGAAAAAAAGTAAAAGAGAGAATGTAAAAGAAAAATAATAAAATGTATTGAAGAAATTTAAAAAATTGATTTCTATTATCGAAAAATGATAATTTAACAAATAGATCCACATAAACACAATATGTCAGAAATACTTTTTTAAGCTCTTAATTTTCTTAGACTCAAATATTTGTCGTACAATTAACAAAATTGAAAGATATATAATACTAACAATATATTAAATCGATATAAATCTGGATAAGAAAAATTTCTCGCAACTTACTCGTTGCATTTTTGACAAACTGCCGAGAGAAGAAGAACAACAAGCTTACACGTTTCCCGTGAGATATGTGTACCGATTAAAGAGCGATTTATCCACGTTTGCGATATAGAAAATCCTCAGAATGACGGATGCTTACATCACGTATAAGAGATCCGTAGGAATAAGAGAAGAAGAAAGACATACTTGCTTCTTCGTCACGCTCGCGTGAGGAGAAACAGCGCTTTCTCAGTGCCGTTTCAATATTTCGGTCACATAGCTGAGGAGGAGAGGTTTGGGAAAGCCGCGCGAAGGACGGAAACCAGATCACGGGGGTGAGACGCGAGCGGTGGAAAAAGATAGTTCTTTTTTTCGCGAAGGATACGTTCGATAAGAAGACGTCCTCCTTCCTCCACCAAGACTCTCACTCCAACAAATCTTTCCGAGAAACCTCGAACTCGACGAAGGCGCTACGAAAAAGTCTCGACGAAGCCTTTTCCCGATCCCGTCTACTTTACTTGAGAGCGAGCTCACTCTATCGACATTCCGCGTTTTATTATCTTACATCGAGAGAAAAATATGCTCGGAAAAAACAAAAAACTATATTCGATCGAAATAAAATCAACAAATCACGATAATTAATATTTTTAAGATAATTTAAACATTATAATAATCATAGTAATTATATCAAAATTCTAAAAAAAATATGTAGCTTGTTTAATTATATTTAACTTGTGGTATTGTTTATGTAATTTAACTTGTTATTTTAGAGAATTATTTTATAGAAAATTCTTTTTTTTTAAATAAAATTTTTTGTGTAAATATTTAAAATGAATTTTTGAAAAATAAGAAAATGAAATATTCAAAGATCGACTTACCCTTTATGTTGCAGGTCCTTCTGTTCCCTGAAGAAGGTTGGGCGAGAAGCGCGAGTAGTTCCTACTGGACCCTGACGCCATTCTGGTGGAGTCGGAGTCGATGCAAGGTCGTTGAAGTCGCTGGGACAAGAAGGTAATAATGAGCTGTTAAAAAACTTATGTTTCATATTGTAAAATTAAATATTAATCGCGCCAAAAAGGAGACACAAAGATAACAATATATCTTCCTTAAATATTTTCTGATTTATTTCATAATTTTGCACAATATTGTCGCAATCTAGTTACTATTTCTTATCGGTTCATTTTATATCCGGTAATTATCATGCGATATCCGCGTTTACGGCATCCTGAATTCTGGCGGGCTAGAATGCGCATCGCGTTATCCTTCTGAGATAACGAGCTCGAGAACAGAGCGTATACGTAAAGTGGATAAAGGCGAATAGCGAACGGAGACGGAATACCATATAACGAGGTAGGATAGGATCTTCCTCTTCCCCCGCTTCATACCACTTTGGGAAACTGGGGCTCGTCTAACTTTCCGGCGTCCATAGATTTCGGCGCCGTTAAGAACCATGATAAATTTCGAGACGAGTCGACAAGCAGGCTTCGGACTGCGCGATAAAATCACGCGCTTTACGATGCTCGAGAATTGTATCTTCGATACAATTGCCCTACATTTTCTCCTCGCGAAAAAATCGCGTAAATATCTCTCTGCTCTAGTGTTTATTTTAATAGTAATTAAACTTCTCTCAAGAAAAGAGAATATTTAAATATCTCGATTTTATATTATTAATTATAAAATATATAATGTGCCACCATTATTAATAATGATAATTTTTACTTCAATCTCTTAAAAAAAATTCACATTTTATATATTAAATTTGTTCTTAATTTTATTTATTAAATTTTTATTATTCCAAGGAATAATAAAGATAATGCGGAAAATATTTCTTTGAAAAGTTAAATAAAAATTACCTGTAGATATTAAAAAAGGAATTTCATATAATTTTCTTGAAGTTTTTGATGATCCTTTTTTAAGGATATATATAATATCTAATAAAAGTTACATAGATATTAAAAAAGGAATTTCATATAATTTTCTTGAAATTTTTGATCATCCTTTTTTAAGGATATATATAATATCTAGAATATCTAGAGATATCGAAAGCTCTATAACTGTAATACAAGTCATTAATGCATGGTCAGAGTTGGCTTCGGGGCATCCTTAGCACAGCACATCGAGCATATACGTCTTCGTAAGATCGAACGGAGTTTGCGAAGGCCAAACTTGCCTAAATATCCCTCGGCTACTGCGGAGTATCTGTATTTCCGTCTTCTCACCAAAGTGAAGTCGAGTTACTGGAGAGACTGCGATCTCAGCAAACACGCGATGTACAAAGGCAGTATCAAATCAATTTCCACGCCCAGATTTGTAGATTTGTATATTCTACGTTATTCTCTCTTTCTCTCTCTTTTTTGTGTATATGTGTGTATATGATGAAAATGTTCGGTTTATTCGCGAAGAACGATGTTCTATTTCGATCTCCAAAAAGTTACTTAGTCATCATTATAAATTTTTTCTTAGAACTCCAAGATATCGAAGTCGTTTATATCGAAGTCGATCAATATTGCAAAGATTATTCGGATTTTCAATTGCTTGGTCAACAAAAATCTTTATGGTTAAAGCATCAAGATATCTATGTCTAAGTCGATCCGAATTCCGAAGATCGCTACTTTATTCCAAACTCCAATCGCTACTTGGTCAACAAAAGTTTGCCAAACTCAATGTTGGAACAGCGGGCTTAGTTACACTGGGGATCGATCCGACCCCTGAAGATCGCTATTTTATACGGATCCTCGTCGTTGCTTGGTCAACAAAAGCTTTTACGACAGGTTGAAATGCGACGATAGTACGACGTACCAGCCCATTGGTCGAGAAAATCTCGCCCATTTATCTTCATCGGGAACTTCGATCCACGATGCAATCGATTGTAACCAAATCCAAACCGATCGAGAAATACTCGATAGATATGTTGCGATGAGCGTTATCAATTTGTCGATAATAAGCCAATGCATGCTCCAGAAATAAACAATATCTCGAGAGTATAGAGCTACAATGCAGACTAATTATCTACGCAATTAATGTCACTAATTGGTATTCGCGATATTATTAATTGACATTTAATCTCACTTTTATTTAATAAACTAATAAATATACATATTAAAGTGTTTTTATATTACAATATATCTAATTTCTCTTTTAATTAGTGGATATTTCAATGTGGCTGTTAGTTTAGTATTTCAATTATGTATACATCTCAAAAGTACTTAATATTGAAGATTATCAATATCGCGCATTGTAATAGCTGAGAGATCAAAGATCGAGAAATGTGGTCGCAAGGGTACGTAATCGATTAACTAGTATATACCCGCATAGTCACATAAAGCACGCGACGTTTATGTGCTTTCCTTCGGTAGATCGCATTTTCCTTTGCCTTTTCCTTTCCTTTCGAGCAGAAGGAAGTCAAAGCAATTCGGCGTGGATTTTGAGCCGAGTGTCGGATTCGCAGCCGTTCACTTCAATAGGGACCGTTTAAACTTTTAATGATCGTCGCCGGTCCTCGAGCGGCATCTTTGTCGGAATAAGCCCCTTGAGTCGACCGTGCGGATGTTGGTGAGCTACCTTTCCCCTTTCCTCACCCTCCCTACTTTTTATTTTTCTTTTTCTTTCTTTGTAGAAAGAAGATCGTCTCTCTCTTCTCGGACACTTATAAAGTCTTTACCAACAGCTTTCATTTCGAAGTTTATTATTTTTATTTTTGTAACTTGATTCGCGAATGCGTATAATGTTTAATTTATATATTATGTGCAAAAAAAATTTTTTTAATGAAAAAAGTGGGACGCACTTTCGCATATATAAGTAGATTTCCTCGAAAATGAGAAAAAAGCAAAACTTTCGAATATACATGTCGAATGAAAGTTATAGAATATTATTTTTAACAAAGATTTTTGAAAAAACATATAATTTATTTTGTATAAAAAACATAATACATGAGAATTTATAAGAATATTATTTCAAAAAAATTTTTTTAATAAGATAATTAAAATTATAAAAAACTTGTGCATGTCTCTCAGTAAAACTTGGCGGAAATTTATTGTAAAATAAATGATATATAATATGAATATTTTATATACCATCTCTTTTTCTCTCTATCATTAAAGAGGCACCCCAACATCTTTCGTCACCAGTCGAGCAGAATTCTCCCTATTCTCTTCCTCCGCAATTTCCCCCTCGTTCATCGCTTCGATGAAGATCGTAGTCTAAAGACACGTAGCTAACGACGATCGTCAATTAACTTAACAATGCGCATTCGAGATGGCCCCTCAAAAGTCTCAAATCGGCATTTAAGGTTCAATTACATCAAAAGTCTCTGCCATCCGAAAATAATTGTGATCCCGCACGCACTTTGACAGAAAAGCAATAATTTTTTCAATTATTAGTAGTATAAAATTATAAAGATTTTTTCCAAAAGGAGAGACGAAAAAATGAGGATAGGATAGAAAAATGTCAAATAGCTTTCCTTTCTCATTATAAAAAGCGAGATAATATAAACAGTTTTCGCAAACTTTTACAAGAGGATAGCAACCGGTAAGATCGCTTCCTTACGAGCGCTTTTTGTACGCATACACAATGCCTCGCCATCCTTATTCGAGATGGAGAATAAGAATATCGAGGGTGTGTGCTCGAGGGTCGATTTTCTCCTCGAGGGTTACATCGAAAACGGTAAAACGAAAAGCGGACGAGCTAAGATGACGAATTGATAGCTCTTCGTTTATACTCGGCGTGTCAAAATCGATTGTACTTTTTTCGACATTTTCCTTCATTCCATGTATAAGTATATAGAATGTCCTGGATTTCTCCTATCTGGATTCTTTAGCAATTTAAATTCGAAACTTTCATCGCACTATTATAATATTTTAATCCGTAATGTAATTATGTTTCAGGTATAGTACTCAAGCAAAGATGGTAGACACGGGCACAGGCACGCTTTACATTATCGGCTCGTTCAAGAGGATGACGACTGATCCCGATTTTAAGGTACAAAATTATATACTTATACATGTATACATATAATTAAATTTATTAAATTAATTCTTTAACCATAAGTTTATCTTCTTTGTTCATTTTCGATTTTTTATCTTTGATCTGCTTTTTTATTTTTGATCAAAAGATAATCCGTAAATGAAAAAAAGATATTAAAATTTCTAAATAAATAAAACTTCAAGAATGCGACATCTTGTAATATTGTACTATTAATGTGAAGAATTAATAAATGAAGATGAGATTCTTTTGAAAATTTGAGCATAATTTGTTCATTAGGTCCTATTAATTATTCATGAGGGCGAGCTTGTTGCAAGCAGAGAAATATCTTCAAATTACACACTAGGGCTCCTAAGTATTCGGGTAAATTATTATCCGGGTATCCGAGATCGATTACACTTCAGATCTCAAATTCGGGTTATCCGGATCCGCGAATCTTATGAGATACACGAATATTTGAAGCGTCGGATCCAGATTCGCGTTTTCGCGGAACTGAATCTAAAATTGCGGCGAGATCGGTCAACGTAGCGTAGTAAGCCTAGATTTCTCTCGAAAATTTGACAATCAGTAAATCAATATATTTTATTTGATAATTTTATTTAATATTTTATTTGATTTTTTAAGCCCTATTACACACTATGCTATTTTCCTACGCTTTATTTTAATCTTATTTTGATTTAAAATTGAGAAACTACGCGCAGTAATAATATATCCTTAAATATATTATAAAAGGATAAATAAATAATATAAAAAAAATTTTCTTCCATTAAGAATTCAATCTTTCAGTTTTATCAGTTTGATTTTATTCTTGAATTCAATTCTATCCTCTTTTAATATATTTTTATTTTTACATTTATATATGAATTAGAGATATATAATTCCTAATACAAAAAATAAATTTTAATTCTCTTTCATAAATTTTTCGTGTATTTTATTTCACAATACTTATTAAGTCTCGGAAGAACAATACTCGCATGATCCTTTTAAGAGAAGCAACGGATATTTTATCGGAAGCTCGCAGTCTCCACCCCGGTTAATCTGGAGATTGTCGGATTACGAGGAACTTTGTCTTCGTAATATTTTTGCTTGTACATGCGACACATTCACAATATCAAATTTTCGAGCAACGTATCCGTATAAATTTCACAGTGAATGCACGCATGCATTATTTTTCGATGCTTCTATCACCAGTATGGAAACGAAGCGCGAGAATAATTAAATAAATATATAACAATGCCGAGAGAGAGAGGAAACTTTATATCATAATGCATGCGCGTTTCCGCAGTTACGAAAACAGGTCGCGCGTTTTCTGCAAGCAAATTAAACAAATTAAAGAATTGCTCCCCTTTTGCTGCGGATGTCCATCTCGGTGGCGTGCGAATTAACAAGATCGCTTGACGTTTATAAAAAAAATATATATACACCTCGATGGTTGTCAGAGCGCGCGCAACCGCGTGATACTGCGATATTTTTTGACAATAAATTTCATATTCGTCAAAAACATGTAAAATAACAGTTATCGAATTTATCACCGGGAATTATTATGTCACGTTAACATCCACTGTCATAATCTCATCTGTCGGTAACATACGTTAAAAACGATTCTACTGCACTGCCATCGTTAATCTTTTTATTGGAAAATACGTCGCGTCTACTTCATCGTTACAATTACTACGCAAATTGACTCTCTACGCGTTGAAAAAAAAAATTAATTTATAGCTTTTAACTTTTTCAATTTCCGTTTTCTGAAGAGCCAGATACGGGAATCTGGGATAGAGCCTCGGAGGATAACTGTCGGCCGACAAAAGGCGTCGAGGTGTCTTATACGTGTGTTCGTACTCGCACGCCTCGGGGATGCGTTTTCGCGACATTTATTGAGCCGGCGGAAGAAAAGTCACGTCGCGAACAGACTTTTTCTGCGAGAGGGAGATCCGGATCCGCCGTATGTACATACGTACCAAATGTTAAAGTGGATGCCACTGTGCGCGCCAACAACGGGGGAGTCGTATAGAATATCCGCGGGATTTTACGACCGTACTAAAACCCGAAAGCTGTAGCAACTCCTGTACATGTGTCGAATGCACCAGCATACCGGAAATGTGTATCAGTAGGTTGCTTGCCCGAGCCGCCGATCAGACAATAACGCGTATCCGCGACTATGACTGTCGCGCGTGCATTTTGATGAAGAGATTCAGAGCTTGCATACAAAAAGAAAAAAAAAAACAACATCGACTGATGCCGTGTTAGAAATCGTGTTTTTGTCTCTGTATTTTATCGGAGTTTGTCGGATTGTGTCATAAATATTATTTCTAGGAACAGCACAAGAGCACAAGCTACAGAATATTTTTGAATGTAAATTACCAAAGGAGTTCCGGGACGTTTTAATTAACACGGATATGTTTTATGGCTATTTTTTTTCCACCACTCGTTAACTTTTAATTACAAATAGTCCGGCTAAGAGATCCAGGTGAATGTTTTTAGCCGCGCTTTTCTGAGCGCAAAAGAAAATAAGTATAAATTCGTGTTTCAGAGAGTCAGAGAAATAAAGTATCACAAATAAATACAAAAAATAAAATATATAAAAATATATATAACGAAAAATATTCCCCTTTTTATTAATATTTTCGTGTTATGTTACTATTAATAGAATATTTCTATTATAATTAAGTTTTTATATATATGCATTATATTATCACGTTTTTATATAATTTTTAAATGTTGAACCATGTGGAATGTAATATGAAAATTTGTAACGCAAAATTCTCTCTCTTCCTTTTCTCGAATTTTGTGCGCGAGAGCAACGCAATGATATCATATCGATCTGCTCGCCGCCCTGTTACAGCTGTACCTGACGTCGAACGTCTCGTCGAGCGACTTCAACATGGGTTACAGTATGACAGGCACGCTGGAGCGCGGCTGCAAGAAGACTAACTCTTTCCAGATGACCCACTTTGCGGTGATACGGCGACGGGACTACGAGAAAGCGTACGAGGACCCGAATCCCACCTAGTGTCCGTCCACACCCACGCTCTCCGAGTGTGGGGATTGCGAGCATTACACATAGTTGGGAAGCAAGGGGCCGTCGGGAAGAGAAAGGGACAGATGCACTTCCGCAGGGAAGCGCTACATCCACCGCTCCATGGATGCTGACAAGAAGTCGCTCTTCGGCGCGAGATCGATCGCGAATTCTCGGAAATCCCGAAACTCCTAGCAGGTCGGTAAACGGCCTCCACGATATGACGAATCGCGATCAAAGATCGCGAGTCATTTGTGATCGAGAACTTTCAGCAGAAATATTTGTGTAAATATTAGATCGCTAAATTGCCTGTGTTAAATTTTTCCTTTATTATATGCTTCTAAAGGAAACGTAATAGAAAATAAGACGCAAGCAAAAACTGCAGATAGAAAGGTAAAAAAATAAGAAGAAGAAGAGAATAAAAAGAGCAAGAAGAGAAAAGCAAACACTGCAATTGGAACGTCATCTGTATTTCTCTTGTAAGACATCATAAGGATAGAAGATAATCAAAATCAAGTGTGAAGGGGAAAGCTTTAATTCGCGCAAAATCAACATTAGCTCGTGGTAATACGAGATTACAGAGATGAAAAGCGGAAGAGAAATATCAAGATAAAGTAAATTATGAGAAAAGAAGGATATCAAGAGCTTTAATTCTCACAAAATAAATATATTTCTCTTACACAAGATTTTGTCTACAATATATACGTTGCTATCTTTAAAGAATTAGTTTACTGGGAGTTTTATTAAAGGGAATTCTATTAACCCTTTAAGTGTTTCATTTTGAGAACGTGCACTTGTGTGCTTAATTATTTTTAAGCTGCAAAGAGTATACTCGACAAAAACAGAGTGTGCATTTGCTGCAAAATTGAAATAAATTATAATAAAACGACAAATTTTTTGTTTTTTTTAAATCATATTTTTATTATAAATATTTATTTTAAAATTGTATTATTTCAGTGTGTTATTTCATAAAAAATTACTTTTTTCTCAAGTGAATTTTTTCTTTGTATGTTTTCTTTTTTGTCCAAAGTTTTGTCTAAAATGTGTTAAAATTACGAATATGTTTTTTGTTTTATCTAAATTTTACTTTAATAGCAAATACTAATTTTGTTTGTTTGATGACGAGTATACTCAAAAGGGTTAAAGGTTCACTTTTTGTAGAAAAAATCATGCATAAGAGAAATATATATTCTGCTTGCACGTACGATTAATTTTCATTTGTTTACTAAAGCCTATATGTCAAGATTTAATTAGCGGTCTAATGGATTACACTAGTATCTCTGTTATCTCAAATTCTCAAAGGCACGTCATTTTCGCACGTCAACGAGTTCGAGATTAAACGAGACCTGACAGCGACTTGGAACTGAAACAGCGGCATACTTTGAAAAGGTAAGAGGAAAAATGAAGATCGGATTGTTATTGTCAGAGAAACGAAATACCAAAGCTGAGCATGTGACGGCCCTGCGCGACAGAGCCAAACGTCCAAAAATAGTCCTTAATTTAGATCGAATTAATTAGCTCTTAATGAAAATCGACGAACGTATGAGTATACCTATAAGCGAAGAAGAGAATACAAAGGGCGACGTTGATCGGGAAGATACGGGAACCGTTTTACCAAAGTACTAGCATGTAAGTCACTTGCAACTTTCTGCCACGCGATAACTCGAGATTGCGGAAATGCAATCTCTTTCAATCCCAACAAGGTACACTGCTTCTCATCGATCGACGCATCGATGGCCGCCGCCGCCGCCGCTTCGTCAAGATTAATAAGTGATTAGCGATTAAGGCTTTTTCTCGGTGAATTCATGACGACTAAGCTGCCTAGCGTAGAATTATATGTGCCAACACAAAGCCATCGTTGACGAGCACTGTACCTGACAATTGCTACGAGTCAGAGCGCAAGAATGCGCGATATCGAAAGCCCCAAGCCGGACGCGAAACGGTATTTCCTGCCCCGTTTCATGGTTACATGTATATAGAATCGAAAAGATGTTTAAAATCTACAGAATCGAGAAAGTAAGACATGAAAAGAGAAGAGATTCAAACGTCTCTTTTTTTGTGCAACATATAACGTTACCAATTGATAGCTTTTTGACAAATTGTTCAATTTTTATAATTTAATTTCATTACAATATGAATTCTCACATAAATAAAAAATGGACGAATAATCGAAGCATATTATTAACAATATATTGCTTTCGCCTTCTCTTTGATATTTAATATATAAAAATTATATATTATCTAAAATATGTAAAATATCATAATATATAAAAATTTACTTTGTTTTTTAAATTGAAGATATACAGATTAATTATTTCGAAAAAAGATTAAGATTTCATTTGATTTATGTCTTTAATTATCAATCTTTATTCTCGATCGCATCTCTGCCCATGGACAGTTATTGCATTTCGAGTTTGATGGTTTGCCGGGGTGGAAAATTTCATATGCCGGGGCCCGTGTCAGAACGCCGGTTATAAATATCGTTTCCCGGTCCAGGCTTTATAAGCAGTATATAGCTATATAGCGTGTAGCCGGCTTACAAGGTATTTCAAAGCTTGTTACGCGCACCTTTCTTTGAGCCATCGCCGACGGACGTCGCTCAAGGAAGGAAGAAAGCCCCGTGAAAGAATGAGAGCTTCGCTGCACTGACGCCGGATACAAAGCGAGAGATCTCTCTTATCTTACGTTACCTTACATACGGGATCATCGTGAATCGGTGCTGTAACGCATAACACGATACTTATTTTTGCTAAAGAGTAGAAAGTCGCTCACACCGGTCGCACGATGCATCCCGATGAAATCTAAGTCGGTGCTCGCCGATCGTTCGTTCGGGAACAAAAAATGACTATCTGCGAGTCAAAAGAAGAACAGCTAGCATTGATAAAATGTGAAAAATTCAAAATTTTCGCAACGAGTCTTTCTATATTATATTTAAAACGAATTTATACGAGATTAATTTGTTTTAGCGAATAAAGTTACGATTTTATGTCGCGTTTAAATAATGTGTTTGAATGATGAGATTATTGTTGCTTAGCTTTTTTCGTGAATATTCGGCAATATTGTCAATGTTATTGATATTATACATCACACGATTCGAATCTCTTTTACAATACATAAAAGTTATAACGGCAGAAATATTTCAAATAACGGTGGGCACATTTCAAAGGTATATTATTGAATATAAGCATTTATTCAGGTAGTATTTATTCATGTAGGAATAAAAATTAATTTTACTTTAAACGAAAAATATATATTTAAAATATTTATATCTTTATTTGTAAAATTATTTAAATGTTTAATATATAATTTTAATTCACATATAAATGATTATTTTATATATTAGTTATTTATAATTCACAGAACAGCTCACGAAAATATATATTGGGTTGCCCGAAAAGTAATTGCCGATTTTTTTATTACAGACAGTCTCTTTTTCATTACATATGATCGTGGATTGTTGATTTCGGTATTTTCAACTTCTCTCCAATCTCTCGCTCAGTTACATGACGATCCAATTCGATTATGGCTTTGATTTGCTCATCATCAGCATTCATTGGCCGACCTGAACGTTGCTCATCTTTGAGCGAAAAATCTCCAGAACGAAACTTATCAAACCAATTTCGGCACTGTCTTTCTTTTAAGGTTTCCTCACCATACACATCACGTAACTTTTTAGCAGCCTGCGCTGCGTTTTTTCCTTTACGGAAATAAAAAAGCAAAATATTACGAAAATGCTCGTTTTTGGACTCCATACTAAAACTAACGCCAAACTAACAATTTTCAACAAAAACACGTCCAATTTGCTTCTAAAGTAAACTAAAAGTGACAGTTGACAAACGTCAGAAGAAAACAAAACACAACATTGACATAAGACATTCACAAATACCATCAAAGCCATCTGTGCGTGAAATCGGCAATTACTTTTCGGGCAACCCAATATATATATATATATTTTTTTTTATTTTAAATATTCCCTTTTTTTGTTCATTTCTGCATACGTTATTGGAAGCAATGAACGACGAACGAGCGGTTAAAAAGTTTATTATAATGAACTGTATAACTTCCTTTATAGTCCTCGAAAAAATCTAGTACCTTCCGCTTTTGCTCAAAAAATTATCTAATGCCAAATAAATACTACAATACGTGCAATAGAGCGTAAAATAGTTAAATCGTTTGCTGCATTTTAATATTAGAATATATATTGTGTTTTCTCGTTTAAGATCGTATCAAAATAAAGTAAAATGCATTTTCGAGCGTTAAACATAATTATAGAGAATGTTATTCTAGATTATTTACCTCCAAAGAATGCAATTTATATAAATAATTTTTAATATAAAAAATTCGCCCAATTAATCTTTTCAGTATCAAATTTAATATAATGAAAATTTCTTTTTATTTCTTTTTAATTTTATCTTTTCAATTTACTTAAAATTTCTTAATAAATTTTAAAAGGAAAATTCTGATATTACATCCTCAACATCAAGATAAAAATACGAATAATTTAATAATATTATTGAAATACATAAAGAAAAATAATATTTAAAGAATGATTTTTTAGGATTTAATAAATTGCTATTAATCTTTAAAAATGTTTTGCATAGTTTTTAGTTAGTTAGAGACGCTTAATTTTTTCAATATATGACGAATAATGGAAAGTTAAGTGCAATATGGTGCAAGTATACTGAAAGATTTGTTGTGATTCGTTTTAATTTTTTTGTTTTAATATTGCCGATATATCGATGCTTTTCTCATATTAATATAATTAAAGGCAATCGAATCCAATGGGATTTTTCGGGCCTCTCATTCGAGTGGAATTACTTGTAACAGGGTTTAATGTTATTTCGCAATTCAAAATGTTGGGAAGAAGTTTGCACTTCTGTCAATTTTTACACGCGATATTAAAATTAACGATCTGATAAAAATTTTAATTGCTGCAAGAAAGAATAATTTTATAAGTTGGCGTTGCTTATGATATAGTAAACTCTCGTTAACCTGGATTCTCCTTTACTTTATATCCTTTTCTACCACAAACTACTATTAGTTTTGAGTTCCTCCGAATTCGCTCTAACGAGAGTTTATTATTCTCGTGCTTATACTACTGTATATGTATGTAGAGATTATGTTTGTTATTACGTTACCCTCATTACTTGGATTGCGAAAGTCAAACAGAAAATCGATAAAATAAATGTAGCGCTGCATGTACATATGGTATATGATGTGTATAAGAAAACCCGTATATATATATATATATACACACTCACATACACGTACACACATACAATAACAAGCTTTATAAGTAGATGAAATTTTGCAGGATCCTCATTGATGTTGTAGAACGTTAGATTAGCACTCGTCAGATGCTTTTTAGCTGATCTAGTCTTTAGATTTAGCACGGACCGCCCGTTATAGTTAGATTGTTTTCGATAGCGGCAGATTATACCAAAGGAATTATCGAGAACACTCGCAAGTCTGTAAAGTAAAATATAGATTTTACGAGCTCTTGTAAACATCGTCGATGAGCCGTTTTACTTTCATAGCATCCTTGCTCCGAAAGACATTTCTCTAGGAAAATACAGCGTTTCGTTCGATCCATCTTTCATCTTACTTGGCGAGAAACCTCGCTTCCGTTCTGCGGCGCCGCATATTCTAAATTCAACAAAGGAATTTCCGGCGTCGAACGAGTAAGTAAACTCAGACGAGACGACGACATCTCCATAGCTTCCTGGCTCTTAAGATTCATGACCGTCAGTTTATGACCATTCTTAGTCGACTTCGACAAGTAACTGATCTATGAACGAAAAACTTGTTAAGATCCCCAGACAAACGTCGCAGATATTTAATATTC